TTGCAATCTGTTCTGTTCGGAGCAATGGCCTTCAAATAACCTGCCCCCACAAGATTTTTAATACATCTGCTGAAATCGTCAGAAGATAGGATAAATAAGAGCGTGGAGAAAGGCCCCCCTCTGTTGTACCCCCCTCCCTGGTTTAAAGAAACCACACTGAACACCAATAACAACAAAAATGTAAGTGCTTTCCAGATGGTTGAAAACCTATTTAAGAAAACCCTCTGAAAATCCCAATTTGCTAATAATATACGGAGTATCTAATAGAACGTACGTTTGAAGGGAGGTCTTCATGAATTACCTGGAAAATCAAGAAGACTATATCAATCTTCTTAAAAACAATTTAACCAAATTAGACTACTAGAGGTATGGCAGCTTCGAGGCAAAACACAAACACACAGTTCCATTGTAATACAAATCTCGTAACAAACTTTTATATGAATGCGGATAGTTTCAACAGTTGTTTCAAAGCATATAATGGTACTTTGGTTGAGGCAGTGAAGAGAAGCAGCTAAACCTCTTCCATGATTGCTTCAGATAGAAATGCATTCTTGTGCACTTTGGACTCCACCCTATACTTCAACTGTGTGTGGTCACTTCCTAGTTGCTCGAGAATCCATTTTCCTTTAAATGATTTGAAGTCTCCCTCAACCTGTTCAAAGTTAAAGTGTTCTTCAATATTTTAGCACAACTCTAGGACAACAGATGCATGAATTGCCATATAGAAAAGACCCTTGCATCCTTCCTGCAAAATCATTTGCATGACGGGTGTTTGGCATGTCCATGTTGTACATTGAGTTTTACTTGTACAAGAGAGAACAAATGGTGTCAAATCAACCCAGCCCCTGCAAGTTAGGCAGTGAATTATGCTTCTTCATAAGGACATGTGGAATGTTCCTACGACCCCCGAAAGAAAGAAATTTAGGGGCTGTTTGGCAACTTCTGAATAGGTAAGTGCTGAACCAGTAAGAGGTCTGAACCATTAAGTGCTGAACAAGTAAGAGGTCTGAACCATTAAGAGCTAGTATATTGTTTAACTATTCAGATGCAAATGTCTGATCAATTCAGATAAGAGGTCTTAACCATTCAGACTCTGTATAATACTTAACCATTCAGAGGCAAATCTCTTAACCATTCAGACATCTGAACCATTAAGAGGCTGAAACAAACAGTCTGAATCATTAAGTGCTGAACCATTCAGACATCTGAATCATTAAGAGGCTGAAACAAACAGCCCCTTAGACTTGTTCCTTTAAGGAGTGGAATTCCAAATCTGAACCCCCATTGATAATTAATGTTGATCGACCTACTCCTATAGCAACAAATACTATTCATAAATCCCATTGACACGTGAAGATAATAATTGACCATACCTACAAAAAGCTCCAGCTCCCCATATTGCCTACAACATAGTTGCTCTTATTTTTATAACACAATATAGTTGCTCTTTTTCAGTTGTATGGTGTAGTTTTCCTTTTGGCGAAATTACTTGTACCATATCTTTAACTCTTTTCTATTTGTTACTATAGCATCAATCTTTTCAATTCTTCCAGTTACTTATGTACTGTTCATTTTATTGTTTGAAATTCATGTCTCAGGCACAGAAAACTGGGTTGAGCTCATTTCTGCTGTTATGCGAAGGCTGGGGGCACCTGATGATCATCATGATCAGCCGCATCTTTGGTAAGTGTCAATTGTCAAAGACAAGGAAGATGCACCTTTCTTTCTCCCACACAATATTTACTACTCTTGTCAATTCCCTTATATTGGTAATTTGAAGGCATTAACTTTCTTTTCAGAACCAAGTTGGACAAGCAAATACATATATTGAAGATTGTGTCCC